GCACGGATGTTAGCCCAGGGCCAGTCTTCCTCAGCAAAAAGAGGAGCATTGGCGTGGATGTTAGCTCAGGGCTGATCTTCCTCACACACACAAAAAGAGAAATGTGCAAGTTTAAAACTTAGCTTAACAGGTTAAATATATGCAAGCAAGTACAGTCATGCATCCCTTAAGGTTAGACCGCCTTAAATGATCCTCCATCGACCAGAACTTTGTAATGTGGGGCATCAATCCAGTAATTGGTTGAAATGAGAGCTTCCACCTGTGGGCTGTGTTTGTGTGTGTGTGTATATATATATATGTATATATATATACACACACACACACTTGGGTTCTGTCATGGGATCTTGACATAGACCTCCTAAAACCCTTGGAATTTCTTGGGTATTAATAGTGGTTGGTTGTTATTCATAACTAGCTCGTTCTATCACACAGGAGTTTGTTATTGTGAGATGACTTAGGGTGGTTCCCCTAGGTAGGCTCAGGATGGGTCTGGTCAACAGAAAGACAAAGTGCTTAGAAGTTTGAACTTTCAGCCCCACCCTCAGCCTCCCAAAGATGGGAGGGGAGCTGGAGCTTAGGGATATAAACTTGAGCAGTGAGATTCAGGGAGCTTTCAGGTTAGTGAGCACATTGAAATGGCAGAAGTGCTGGGAGGGTGGATCATACTGAAAGGTCATGGAAACTCTGCTGCCCTCACCCCACACCTTGCCCTAGACAGCTCCCCATTGGGCTGTTCTCAAGTTGTATCTTTTATAATAAGCCAGTACATGTAAGTGAAGTGTTTTCCTGAGTTCTGTGAGTCATTCTACCAAATTACTGAAAGTGAGGAGTGTACAATGGGAAACCTTGAATTTATATCCAACTTGGACAGAAATACTGGTAGGTTGGGGATATTAGACTTGCAACTGGGTTCTGCAGTTAGGACAGTCTTGTGGGACTGAGCCCTTAAACCTGTGGATTCTGGTGAGAATAGGATTGAACTGTAGGACACCCAGTTATTATCAGAGAATTGGGTAATTGGTATTGGAATAGACATCACGTACTTGGTGTCACAAAGAGAATCGCAGAAACCTCAAGGTATTGATTAATACCACATTCACAAAAAGCTTTAAAAGACATGTAAGAAACACCTCATATTTGAAAACGTTTACAGAAATGTTAATCCTGTGGTCAGATGCGTAAGGGATGTGTGAAGTCTGCATCGATGTTCTGAGGTAGGCACCATAAGTGCAGTGATTTTACACATGAGGACGCTGAGTTTCAAGGAGGTTGAGTCTTTGTCCAAGGCCATTCAGCTGTTAAGAGCTGGTTCTGAGGTTCTGATGTTAGATGTCAGCCTGAGATCACCCTTCTCCAGGGCAAAGAAGGAAAGGAAGGGCTAAGCCTTTACCTTGCACCATGATCACCTTTATCTCGCATCCTCCCTCTTCCACAGGTTCCCATGGTAGCGGTAGTGTTTATGGACCCTTCACAGGAAGTAGAAGAGGCTTAAACTCACCAGCCCTAATCCCTACCCCCATGGTCCTGGCACACAGATATAGGAAATCGTGGTGTCTTGGGACTTTCTGCCCTTAGTTCTGGGTCCTGGATTCACTGCAGGCACAGGGTCCTTAATCTAGGTCAGAAGTTGTAATGAGGGCTTCCCATTTCTCCAGTTAGTAAGGCAAAATAGCAAAAAGTTTCCTGGGCACAGGAACCAGTGTATCCACATGTGTGGAGATGAGAATGAGTTGGGAGTGTGTTCAGTGAAGTGCAGGACTCCATTCTATCTTCTGGGAACAGAGATTGAGGGACAAGAGCCTGTCCTGGAGTGGCAGCCTGAGGAGCTGGACCTCTGCTGAGGGTGGTGGGTCCATGGACTGTTTGGAGCAGAGGATGGAAGTTATCTGAGTCAGGTCTAAGCAGACTATTCTGCCTGCAGAGTAGAAGACAGATTGTGGGGTTGAGCGTGGAGGCAGGGAGACCCCAGTGGAGACTACAGTCCTGGGGAGTATTGATGGTGGCTGTATCATAGAAATGACTCTCTAGTTGGAGAAGAGGTTGGTTTCTCAATGTCCTTTGTAAGTAGGGGTGATTTTTTGCTGTACATGGTGAGAGAGACAATCTGGCATGACCCCAAGATGTTTGGCTTTAGGTGAAAGTGGGGACATGCCTATGCTGAGATGGAAAGTCAATAGTAGGAATAATTAACAGGAATACTATCAGGATTTAAGTTTTTGCCATGTTGAGTCTGAGATACGGTCAGGACCTCTGAGTAAAGGGTCAAGTGGGAATCTAGAAACACATCTGGAGTTCAGGGAAGAGATTCAATTTGAAGTAACCATCAGCAGGTGGCTGTCATGTGGACTGTGTCATGTTGAAGAGGGACACTCCCTAGGTCATGGTGGCAATGCCATTACTGGGGAAGGATGGGTACAGTATTCTCAATGGATGGGCTCAGTTGCTTGGGCTCCTAGATAGGAGTGGCTGTCATCACTAAGACAGATAAGGAAGTACAGTGGCCATGAGTGTGTGTGTGGTGTGGAAACAGGCTTTAAGTGGAGGTCTGGGTGGTAGCACAGGATTCCCAGGGGGTGGACAAGAGATTTCTTGAGAGACATAGCAATATTAGAGGTCAGATGACACTGAGATAAGGCCTGGTGCTTTTTTCCCTCCACAGGCTCAGAGTTTTTTGATAACTTCTGGTGGAGCCTGAAGAGTGTCAGACTGGATGACAGATTAGCTTCAGGGTGAATTAGGTCACCTGGGAGAGTCTCTTGGGCTGTGGTGGGAGAGGTGGGGCTGGGCTTTGATGAGATGCGGTGGAGAGAGGAAAGGTATGACTGGTATGGGGACAACACATATAACACTAAAGAGGACCAGGGCTTAGTCTATCTGAATCCCACACAAGGTCTGGGTGTCTGAAGTTGGAACAAGGGGCAGGGCCAGGTGGAGAGGACTTCACAGCAGTGCGGGGACCTCCACTGGCAGTGGGGTCCATCAGAGGCCTGGGGTAGCCCTGTATCCTGGTTGCATTTGGCAAGCACTACCTGAGGGCCATGTGCAGAGTGGCATGTGGGGAAGCCAGTGAGATGCCTAAGGCATGGACAGAGGTGGCAATGGTGTTGTAGGTGTAGTGGTTGTGGTCTGGCATGTGAGAGAGGAGTGATCCCATAGTGCTGTGTAGATGAAGAGGGAGTATGAGGATGTACTCAGGGTCCTTGTACTCAGAGTTTAATCCAGAAGGCTGAGCCTAAGTGTTATTGTATGTGGCATGATCTGTGCAATCCCAGGACAGTTGACTGTGAGGACAGTAGTTGGGACTCTATTTGCCAGTCCCAGATCATCGATGACACTTCCTCTCCCCCATCTGCTCTTCATGATGATTGTAGGCAGGCATCAGTGGGACATGAAGAGAGAGCAAGTACCAGTGGCATGAGGAGTTGGTATCCTCTTTGAGTTGGGGAGCTGGGGAGGAGGGCCATGACCTGGAGTCCTGGTTAGAAAGGCTTGTGAACTCTTCTGCCCCCATCATGACAGGGCCCTGTGACCTTTGAGGATGTGGCTGTGCACTTCTCCCAGGAGGAGTGGGGGCTCCTTGATGATGCTCAGAGATGCCTGTATCGAGAGGTGATGCTGGAGAACTGGTCACTTATATCCTCCCTGGGTAAGAACCCTTGCTCCCACACCATTGCTTTATACTGTGCTCTGCTCCTCTCCTTTTTCCAGGGCTCACTCTGTCTTTCCCAGACCTGGACCATGGTCACTGATTCCTTCCCTGGTTTTCTGGCATAGGTGCTGTGTGTGTTCAGCCCTAACATCTTTGGCCTTGAAGGCTTTCACACAAGGCTTTGGTCTCAGAGTCTTGTTGCTTGCCTGACCGCTGCCACTTTGCCCGTCTTGCTATGTTGACTATTTAGATCTGTGAAAGGTCTCTGTCACAGGTTCTGCTGCCGCCTTTTTTGTGCGCTGCCAGTGTCAGGAATTACAGACACTAGGTGGTCAGTATTTGTGGGCTACACTAGATTACTAATGGATTTCTTTCCTGTGGTGTGTCATTGGTTGAGTTATTCTGGGCCAGTGTTGTCCACTTAACTGCCCTATTTTCTCCTTAGTACTTTGATCTGGTAGGTCATACTTAGTCGTCCAACTTGAGGTGAGGGGCAGAGTAGATCCCTGGCTGCCTGATGGCATAGGCATCTCTCTGGCCGTGGGGAGGGAGTTATTAGGATCCTGGGCCTGGTGAGTAGGAGCAGGAGGAAGGCACGCTGTTGTAGATGAGTTCTAATCCTACCAGGCAAGTGTCCTTGGCTGACTACTGTTTTAGTGCAAGGCTCATGGCCATACCTCATTTCTCTCTTTTCTCTCCACCCTTGACATTTTGCTCACTTTTTATTTGTACTGTAACTTTTGGCCCCTGGTTGTCCTCTACCTCTGTGTCTTCCACATCTCTCCTGTTCCTTTCTCTCTGTAGTGTTCTCCCACTTTCAACTACACTGAATGTGTCAGGAGAAGTGTACATATCCTTAAATAAACCTTGACTTGCAGCTTCCTAGTTGTGATTCCCTTTTCCTGGGGTGGGACACACATTCTACACAGCACTCACATGTCCCCAGCAGACAAGGTCCTGCTGAGAACCATGGGTAGAGGAGTTGCACCTGGCCTCTCCTCCTAGCCCAGTAATGTATCCTGTTTTCTTACTGGTTGTGAGACTTCCTTCTTTCTGTGACCCTCAGAAGCCTAGTACTACAGAGTATCTTCTTCCTCCACCCGATCCTGGCTCCCTTGTCCTGAAAACAATCCCATGGATTCCTTCATGGTTGTGTCATACACACATTGTAATAGGCTGTCCTGTTCCACAAAGTCTACATCCACTTTATTACCATTGTGTGCTTTCAGGTTGTTGGCATGCAGTAAAAGATGAGGAGCTGCTTTCTGAGCAGTGTGCTTCTGTGGAAAGAATGTCACAAACCAGGACTCCAAAGGCAGTCCCTTCTGTCTCAAAGACTCATTCCTGCGATATGTGTGTCCTGGTGGAGAAAGACATTTTGTACCTTGATGAGCACCAAGGAGTGCAGCCTGGGCTGAAAGCATTCACTTCTGGGGCTTGTAGGAAATTGTTCTCATTCAGTTCATACCTACACCAGGAGCAGAAGCAGCACAATGGTGAGAAATGGGTCACGGAGGAAGAGAACAGGGCCCTGTGTGTGGAGAGTTGCAAAATCCTTGTGTCAGACAATATTTTCACATGTGGAGAGGTCGAGAAGGATTTCTCGGGTAACCCGGTCTTTCCCCAGCAGAAAGCCACCCACAGTGGAAGGCAACCACCTCGAAGCAGGGAGAGCAAGGAGGCCTCTCACACTCGGCGAAGGCATTACAAATGCAGTGAATGTGGGCAAGACTTCAAAAAAGTGGATAAACTCGTGGAGCACCAGAGAGTTCACACTGGTGAGAGGCCTTATGAGTGCAGTGAATGTGAGAAAGCCTTCACCCGTAAACACAATCTTATTCAGCACCAGAGACTCCACAGTGGAGAAAAGCCTTATGAGTGCAGTGAATGTGAGAAAGCCTTCAGCCGCAAACACCATCTTGTTGGGCACCAGAGAATCCACACTGGGGAAAGGCCTTATGAGTGCAGTCAATGTGGGAAGGCCTTCATCCAGAAAAGAAAACTTCTTGAACACCAGAGAATCCACACTGGAGAGAAGCCTTATGAGTGCAGTGAGTGTGGGAAGTCCTTCATCCAGAAAGGAAACCTTCTTGAGCACCAGAGAATCCACACTGGAGAAAGGCCTTATGAGTGCATTGAATGTGGGAAAGGCTTCGCCCGCAAACAACATTTTGTTGGACATCACAGTACACACTGGAGAAAAGCCTTGTGAGTGTCGCAAATGTGGAAGGTTGTTTTCACACCTCTCCACCTTCTTTAAACACCAGAAAGTTCACATTGGAGAGAGGCCTTATGAGTGCAGTCAATGTGGGAAAGTCTTCACCCGCAAACACGGTCTTATTCAGCACCGGAGAATCCACACTGGGGAAAAGCCTTATGAGTGTAACGAATGTGGGAGATTGTTTACAGACAGATCTGACCTCATTAAGCACCAGAATGTTCACACTGGAGAAAGGCCTTATGAGTGCAGTGAATGTGGGAAAGCCTTCACCCCCAAACAAAAGCCTGTTGGGCACCAGAGAATCCACACTGGGGAAAAGCGTTATGAGTGTAACAAATGGTGGGAGATCGTTTACTCACAGCTGTGACATCTTTAAGCAACAGAAAGTTCACACTAAAGAGAGGCCTTATGAGTGCATTGGATGTAGGAAAGCCTTCTTCCACAAACAACATCTTATTCAGCACAAGAGAATCCACACTGGAGAAAAGCCTTATGAGTCAGTGAATGTGGGCTGTTCTTTACATGCAGCTGTGACCTCAGTAAGCACCAGAAAGTGCACACTGGAGAGAGGCCTTATGAGTGCAATGTGGGAAGTCCTTCATCCTGGAAAGAATACTTATTGAGCACCAGAGAATTCACACTGGAGAAAGACACTGAGAGTGTAATGAATGTGGGAAAGCCTTTAGCCACGAAGACAGACTTGTTCAGCACCAAGACTTCCATACTAGAGAACAGCCTTATTTGTGCAGCAAATGTGGGGAAACTTTCAATGAAAGATTTTACTTCATGCAATAGAAATTTCATACTTGAGAAAGTCCTTAGCCATTATCAGAATGAGCTATCACATAGTTTAACATAAACACCAGAGTGTAGACTTTCAACTAGATTCATCAGCCAAAAGGTGAACTTTGTACTTTTGAGGATTTCCGGTTCACTATCTGTACCAGATACTTGTGATTCTTTCTGGAACTAAGATGACTTTCTAAACTGCTGAGCACCTGTGGCAGAAGTTATCTCATCACTACCATGTGACATGTCCCCACAGTGTCCATCAGTCACCCTCGTGTGCTCAAGGAATGTAGACCTCTCTGCTCTCCAGACCCTGAAGGGAATCGTGGGGAAAGTGAGCCTCTTGGGGGTCCGCATTCCATCTTCCTGAACTTTTTCAGGCATAGACAACACCCGTCTTTGCTCATAGGAGTAGTCTGGGTTCTACTGGTGGATTGCAGAGGTTTGCCTTTGTGGATGTTGTTTCCTGTGATTCTCATGATGGATTTACACCTACTCCATGTAACCCACCAAGGAAACTGCCTCCCTCACTGTGGCCTGACGTATGCACTGATAAACACGTGATTGTTTAAGCTACTTTGGATTGTGGAGTTATGCGCCTTTTGCAGCAAGGTTAGGTCCAAATTGTGGTTGGTGGTTGTGAAAGGGTGAACAGCTTTAGTGAGGCCGAAAGTCATATTGAGTCCACACTAGGAGTCAGAAAATAATTTTTAGTGCCGTTTTGGCTTCATTTGCATTGCTTCCCAAGGCTTCCTAGGAAAGAGTACAGGGCTTTGTGATCCTAATCACATGTGTGGGTTTATTTGCAGGTCCAGAAGCCTCCTGAGAATGGGCATTTGTGAAACCTTCAGTGGGGGGAGCTGCATAATTGTTTCCTTTCTTCCCAGTGATGCCTCATATTTCTTGGCACCGTTGACAGGAAGCTATTTCCCAGGTGTTTATGGAGCTATGTGCAGTGAAGGAGAGAATGTGGTAGGCATGTGTCACCAGTTGGAAGACCTACTGGGCCAGGTGAGAACAACAGTTGGTACAGAGACCTAGGCATAATAGGGAGTGGGGAAGATGCAGGAAACTACAGGGAATATGCCCCTTCTAAAGGTGCATCCATAAATGTGTGTGTGGCTATGGCTTCATGATATGAGCATTTGTGTAGAAATTCTCAGGACCTCCATGTCTGTGTTTCTCCTGTGGGCACAGTCCTTGTCAGGGTAAATATTCTAAAGATTTTGTGAGCTCTCTTTGCCTTTCTGGGCTGTTCTCCTCCAGATGCCTGCACACGCAGGAGAGCAGGGTTTGAGAGAAGATAAATCTTGTAGTCTAGAAAAGTGTTTTTGTGAGTCATCAGGGTTCCTGCTGACTCAGATGGATATTATCTTCATAACTTGGTAGATTTGGTGCCATTGGAAGGACTGCCTTTCCCAACTTATGAGGAAATAAGCCGTCATCTTATAAGTCAGTATTGTCTTGCCAAAAATTCTGGTTTCTCCGAAGAAAAGGGGTTGATATTTTTTGTGGTATCATTTATTTTAAAACATGATTAGACTATACACTTTATACAGAAAACTGCATGTATTCAGTGTACGGTGATAAAGTTTGATCTGTATATGCCCTTGTAACCTTTGCTATAATCACGATAAAGGGCATTTCCATTACACAGAAGTTACCTGTTGTTTTCCCATAATCCCTCTAGCCCTGCTCTCCCAACCCCTCTTCCCTATGATACCATTGAATTACTTTCTGTCTTTGTTAGAATTTTATGTAAGTGGAGACATAAAGCATTTAGTCTTTTTTGTGTGGTTTCTTGCAGAGCAATTATTTGGGATTCATCTATGTTGCCTATATGAATAGGTTACTCTCTTTGCTGAGTTGTATTTTATTGTATGGATATACCACATAGTGTTTATCCTTTCATCTGTTACTAAGTATTTGGTTTCTTTCTAATTTTTAGGTATTACAAATAAAGCTGCGATAAACATCTATATGTATATTATGTAGACAAATGCTTTCACTCACTTAAGTTAATATCTAGCAGCACAACTTCTGGGTCATAGAGTATGTGAATGTTTAGCTTATTAAGAGACAGTCAACCTTTTCTAAAGTGGTGGGGGTTTTTTTGTTTTGTTTTGTCTTTACATTTTTCAGCAGAAGAAGCGGAAACAGCGTTCCAGTCTTCTTACATCCTTTCCAACACTTGGTATGATCAGGCTCTGTAATTTTAGTCCTACAGTAATTGTATAGTGGGGTCTTGTGATTTTAATTTGTATTTCCCTAATGACATGATGTTGAGTGGTTTTCAAGTGTTAAATTTTAATTGACTTTTTAAAAAATTTCTGTTCATATGATTTGTCATCTTGATTACTGAGTTTTGATATTGCTTCATAGATTCTTAATAAAAGTTCTCTGTTGGAAATATGTATGCCAATATATTCTTCCCATCTTGATCTTATGTTTTCAATTGCTTTTCCAATAAAAGTTCTTAATTTTAATGGTCTTATTTGTCCATTAATTGTTTTACTGATTATTCTTTTGTTGTTGTTGTATATGAGTAATATTGCCAAATCTCAACACATAATTTTTCCTATGTGTCCTGTAACTTTTACAGTTTAGTTTTTTTTTTTTTTTAGGAGAAGATTTGCCCTAAACATCTGTGGCAATCTTCCTCCCTTTTTTTTTTTCTTTTTTTCCCCCGCAAAGCCCCAGTACATAGTTGTGATTTCTTCTGGTTCTTCTGTGTGAGCTGCCACCACAGCATGGTTACTGACAGACGAGTGGTGTGGTTCCACGCCCGGGAACCAAACCCAGGCCTCCAAAGTGACATGGGCCGAACTGTAACTGCTAGGCCATCAGGGCTGGCTCTGGTTTAGGGTTTTTTTGATGTTTATGATCCATTTTCAGTAATTTTTAGAAGTTCTCTCTTTTTTTTTTTTATGTGGATGCCCAATTGCTGCAATGATATTGACTTAAAAGATCATTTCTTCTTCCTTGAATTGCTTTTGTATCTTTACTGAAGGTCAATTGTTTATTTATATGTTTATTTCTGGACTTCTGTTACATTTATTTTATTTATGCCAATACTTTTATTCATAAAATTATTTATTTTTTAACACAGTCCTGCATCGCTTAACAATGTGATATGTTCTGGGAAATTTGTTGTTAGGCAATTTTGTTGCTATGTGAACATCATAGAGTGTACTTACACAAACCCAGATGGTATAGCCTCCTACACATCTAGGCTATGTAGTACTAATCTTGTGGGACTATCATCGTATATGCAGTCCATTGTTGACTGAAACGTTATGTGGCACATGACTATGTCTTGAAATGAAGGTCATGTACTCTTCCAACTTTCTTCTTTTTCAGAATTCTTTTGGCCATTCTTGGTACTTTGTGTTTTCATACGAATTTTAAAATTCACTTGTCAATTTCTACATCACACAAAAGCCTACTAGGATTTTGATTGGGATTGCAGTGAATATGTAATTCATTTTTATTTTTTACTTTTTTAATTTTTTCCCCCAAAGCCCCAGTAGATAGTTGTATGTCATAGCTGCACATTTTCCTAGTTGCTGTATGTGGGACACGGCCTCAGCATGGCCGGAGAAGCGGTGCGTTGGTGCGCGCCCAGGATCCGAACCCGGGCCACCAGCAGCGGAGCGCACGGACTTAACCGCTAAGCCATGGGGCCGGCCCATGAATATGTAATTTAGAGAGAAATACTGAGTCCCAGTCCCAGTCCCTGAATATCTCCTTTGATTTAGTTCTGATTTAGTTTTTGTTAGCAATGTTTTTTAGTTTTCTGTTTATAGGTCTCACAAATTTATCCATCTCCAAGTATTTTGTACATCTGATAATATTGTAAATGGTAATTTTTCAAAAAACATTTGAATTTGCCAATTGTTCAGTGCTATTACACAGAGCGAGATCAAACTAATGATAGAAGATATCCCAAATCTTATAAATAACACCTGCAAAACATCTAGTATAAATACTATACCTTATGATCCATTATTAAAATATTTCCATGAGATGAAAACAAAAAGGTGACAGCTGCTTATTGCTCTCTTATTCAATATTATCCTGAAGTTCCAATTTCATTCAATAAGGTAAGATAATGAATATGTAACAATTGGAAAGGAAGAAGTAAGCCACCTAGAATATTTCCTCAATTGTCTTCACTGTGAATCCAAATATGGACACCTAATTTACTGTGTCAACCCATCCAAAAGTCCTTCCTCATCACCTGTGCTCTGCTCCTCTTACTTCCTTATGACCCATCACTGCCCATTATACTATGCAACTTAATATCACAGATGAACTGCTTATTGTCTTTTCCATCATCTGCAGAATCAGATCCAGGAGGGAAATTTCTATTTACACTTTGTACACTGATATAGTCCATATTCCTAGAAACATGCCTGAAATACATAAGGTACATAATCAGTGTTTTAAAATACTGAGCAAAATGACAACTCAGGTTTAACATTGGTTTGCATGACTCTGGATACACTTTCTAACTCTACTCACACTGTCTTGTCCTTCGGTTTCCCTACTCTCAATGCTCAGGAATGGAAAGAAATA